TGGGATAAAAGTGACTAAAAAGTCACATTGGAGACACGTGGTTCCATATTGCACACTCTGACATTATTGCATTATTGCCCTAGCTCGAGTTTTGTTGGCAGTCTCCTCGGTGCTCTTAACTGCCTGATTTTGAGAATTAAGAGAAAACATTTTGCATAGTGTTGAGTTCCATGTTTATTTTAGATGTGGACAGGTGCCTGCAATTCCAGCTTGAAATATATTTTGGCTTTGTTTGTTGATTTGATGATATTGCTATGATATCATACATCAAATACCTTTCGATGATATGACAGATATGATCCTGTCACACATCTATCAGTTTCATTTTTAAAATCTTTATTTAATGAGGATTGTCAAGGTGATATTTCAGAATCTCTTGTTCTAGGGAGTCGATGTGTTCATAATTTTAGTTCAGGGGTGTCAAACTGGTTCCAGAGAGTGCCGCTGTGGCTGCAGGTGTTCATTCCGACCAAGGAGGAGCCCACCAGATTCTACCCATTTCCTCAAGTCTTCAGGTTAAGACTGAACTCACTTGAGGAGTGTGCTCCAGATTGGTTGGAATGAAGACCTGCAAACCTTAAAGACCCCTTGACACCTGGGAGTCAAACTCAGGACCTTCTTTTATTGTCTACCTTTTACTATTATGCTATTACAGCTTAGTATTTAGTAATTGTGTGAACGGCGGCCTTCACAAATCAAATTCGGGACAAACGAGATACAATATCAGAAATATTATATATCCTTGGTCATGTTGGACAAACTAGTTTTCATATTTCTGTTGCGTCTTGAAATAATGCACAATGTCAGGTTAAAAAGCCCTGTAAAATGCACATCTCTGGTAAAACTCAAATAAACATCCAGGTCGATCTTTCCCTGCTGTTTCCAATCTCTGCTCCTACATGGAACGTGTTGCAAAAAGACTGGAAATTAACTTAATTTATTTAATTGAATGTTTTTAGTTCCAGATTGAGAGCAATGTAACTGTTTTTATCAATTGTAATTTTATGTAATTGAGTATAACTTTTGCTGCTGCTTGTCCATGATGTCCCTAAAGAGGTTCTTAATCTCAATGGGACTTTCGGTCACCCTTTGGTTTAGCTTTCACTAATTAACAGCTAATAAAGTGCTAATATGAATATAATTTATAGATAATTAGCTCTTAATTGGAATTTAGTAAGCACTTATTCCAATTAATAAGTCCTTATTCAACATGGCCTTATTCTAACACTTTCCCATGTGGGTTAGGCTTTGGGCTAGGGTACACTAAATAAAACTTAGTTAGCTGTTAATATTTGAGGGCGAGTCAAAAGTGTTGCCAAACTTTCCTGGTTGAATAAAGAGTTAAATGAAAAAAAACAAGACGCACCTGAGTATCACTTTCCAAAGGTACGCGGCCGACGAGCGGGTAACGTCAGCGCAGCTTCGACTGTGCAGAATGAGGAGTGCGTTCATTTGCCTCAGCACCCAGCCCCTCCTCCCGCTGTCCCGTTTACCGTAAGGTCCTTTAATTTTCCTGAAATAGGAGCGTGACAGTGGTGACATGCTGATGAGGCGAGTGGCAACCTGTCCCATCTCATCTGTCTGCGCTCTGCTCCTCCCCTCTCACGCCGTTTTTCTTCTCTTTCAGGACTTTTCTCCCCTAAATAAACACTCCTGCTCCTATCTGTCGCGATGTTTTTTGGCACAGAGCCGTGATTGACGCTGGAAAAGGGCAAAAGTAATAAGCGGGAGATGTTTTTTATTTCACCTGCATCGGTCGTTATAGCACTCTTTATCACCTGACCCGGCTCAATTATGCCAATTGGCAAATGCGGTGACATAGACAAGTTATGGAGACGGTAAAATGAAACAGCTACAAAATCTAAACGGTAGGTCACAGCGGTGAGTTTTGTAAGACGGAGAAATGGCTTTTCTTTAGTGGAAAACACAGCATTAGGATGTATTACTGCACACAGAAAAGGACAACAATTTCAACGTGATGTCATTTCCACCTGTCAGTCTTGTCGCCCCGCTGCAATAAACTGGGTCCCATTACAGAGATGAGTTGTTGTTGTGACCCCCCCATATGCACAGGCTGTTTGGGGCTTTATGTAAATTGGACACAAATCTAGTAAATGGCGCTGGGGTAAATTTCTTGTATCAAGGTTTGAAATCTCCATAAAGAAGATTGTTAAAGAAGTAAAATCAACAGTGGGGTGCTTTTGTTTGTGAAGCCGCAACCCCACTATTTTCACCAGATGTCACCTTTAAAGCAGGGGTGTCTAACTTTAAGTCAGGATGGTCTTCTCTTTTTCCATTTTATGTCTGAAAAAGTTGATATAGGGATGTGCTAGTATAGCCCAAAATACAGGCTTGTGAAAAAAGGAGTTAGAACAGTTATATAGTCAGGTATAACATATAACATTATATATGACTTGTTTTTATCCAGCTGACTGGGACCTATTTTGTGTGGGTATGGATACAAGATTATATAAGTTTACATACGACATATAAAACTGACATCAGGTGTTCACTAGTTACAGTGCCTTGCGAAAGTATTCGGCACCCTTGAACATTTCAACATTTCGCCACATTTCAGGCTTCAAACATAAAGATATAAAAATATTTTTTTTTGTCAAGAATCAACAACAAGTGGGACACAATCGTGAAGTGGAACGAAATTTATTGGATAATATAAACTTTTTTAACAAATAAAAAACTGAAAAGTGGGGCGTGCAATATTATTCGGCCCCCTTGCGCTAATACTTTGTAGCGCCACCTTTTGCTGCAATTACAGCTGCAAGTCGCTTGGGGTATGTCTCTATCAGTTTTGCACATCGAGAGACTGGAATTCTTTCCCATTCTTCCTTGCAAAACAGCTCGAGCTCAGTGAGGTTGGATGGAGAGCGTTTGTGAACAGCAGTCTTCAGCTCTTTCCACAGATTCTCGATTGGATTCAGGTCTGGACTTTGACTTGGCCATTCTAACACCTGGATACGTCTATTTGTGAACCATTCCATTGTAGATTTTGCTTTATGTTTTGGATCATTGTCCTGTTGGAAGATAAATCTCCGTCCCAGTTTCAGGTCTTTTGCAGACTCCAACAGGTTTTCTTCCAGAATGGTCCTGTATTTGGTTCCATCCATCTTCCCATCAATTTTAGCCATCTTCCCTGTCCCTGCTGAAGAAAAGCAGGCCCAAACCATGATGCTGCCACCACCATGTTTGACAGTGGGGATGGTGTGTTCAGGATGTGTTCAGCTGTGTTGCTTTTATGCCAAACATATCGTTTTTTTGCATTGTGGCCAAAAAGTTTGATTTTGGTTTCATCTGACCAGAGCACCTTCTTCCACATGTTTGGTGTGTCTCCCAGGTGGCTTGTGGCAAACTTTAAACGAGACTTTTTATGGATATCTTTGAGAAATGGCTTTCTTCTTGCCCCTCTTCCATAAAGGCCAGATTTGTGAAGTGCACGACTGATTGTTGTCCTATGGACAGACTCTCCCACCTCAGCTGTAGTTATCTGCAGTTCATCCAGAGTGATCATGGGCCTCTTGGCTGCATCTCTGATCAGTCTTCTCCTTGTTTGAGATGAAAGTTTGGAGGGACGGCCGGGTCTTGGTAGATTTGCAGTGGTCTGATACTCCTTCCATTTCAATATAATTGTTTGCACAGTGCTCCTTGAGATGTTTAAAGCTTGGGAAATCTTTTTGTATCCAAATCCGGCTTTAAACTTCTCCACAACAGTATCTCGGACCTGCCTGGTGTGTTCCTTTGTCTTCATGGTTCTCTCTGCGCTTTAAACAGAACCCTGAGGCTGAGTTTACACGGAGACAATGTGGCAGTAAAACGGTATAGTTGGATGTCGGTTCCTACCAACCGTTCATACGAAGACTGTGTTTCAGGGGGTGAAAACGTAAGTGTTCAGATCCAGCCTGCAGAGTGGGACAACTCAGAAACGTTGCACAGCGGGGGCTCTCTTTCACACCCGCGAGGGAAAAAGGTGTGAAATCCCCCTCTGCTCTGACCCCCACCTCCGCGCTGCTCCCCGCACGTAAATTTGGACATGCGCAGTAGCGGAGAACAAACATCAACAACAATGGCAGCAGTCACACTAACTAGCTTCGTGGACTTCCAGCGCGGCCCAGAGGATAATTCTACTCCTTCGTTCGTCCAAACGAGACCACACGAAGCTCTAGGTTCAGTTCCCATGTTCACAGCTGCTGTTAAAATGCAGAATGATGCTGGTGCGTTCTGAGGGTCTGGTACAGGAAGTGAGTATACTGCCGAGAGGGGGGCTGGGCACGGGGCTGGGGGTCGTGTGTCGTGTTGTAAAGTTTCTCTGCCCACTACTGGCCGGGCACTAGAACAACATCGTTTTTCAACCTCATGTGAACGCTGAGAAATTTGCATTAGGAGCCAGGTCATTTCTGTTAATAGCCTGGAAACGTCTGCGCAGCGTCTCAGTATAAACAGGGCCTAAGACTATCAAAGAGCAGGTGCATTTATACGGAGACTTGATTACACACAGGTGCATTCTATTTATCATCATCAGTCATTTAGGACAATATTGGATCATTCAAAGATCCTCACAGAACTTCTGGAGTGAGTTTGCTGCACTGAAAGTAAAGGGGCCGAATAATATTGTATGCCCCGCTTTTCAGTTTTTTATTTGTTAAAAAAGTTTAAATTATCCAATAAATTTCGTTCCACTTCACGATTGTGTCCCACTTGTTGTTGATTCATGACAAAAAATTAAAATTGTATATCTTTATGTTTGAAGCCTGAAATGTGGCGAAATGTTGAAAGGTTACTTGCGAATACTTTCGCAAGGCACTGTAACTCAATAAATGTCTGTTTCGTCTGGTCCTTATGCACCAAGCTGGACCCAGTTCTGAGTCTGTTCCATGCTAGAACAGTGAGCATGTTAAGAAGGTCCCGGGGTGTCCATCTCCTCCAGGCATATCCTGTTTGCAGGATACTCAGACAAATGTGGACAAAGCATTGTCCAGGTTGAGCTCTCAATACAGCCACTCGCAGATTTCAAAGGTTATTGCGTCGCCATTGAGGAATTCGTAGGCGATGGCCCTGATCTGCCACACGTCTGGCTGAGGAAGATCAGGCTGTGCATCTGCGGCTGAGGAACATCTCCGGAGGGCAGAAGTCCAGAGTGCCCATGTGCCGAGTGTAGTGGAGACGGCGCAGCTACATCCAAAGTCCACAATACGGACTCGAGCCCCCTCCTGCGTATCCTGCATCAGGATGTTGGCGGTCTTTATGTCTCGGTGGAAAACCCAATTTTTGTGGTCCTGGGCCAGCTGTTTGATGATGTCCCTGATGGTGTCTTTAGGCTGAGGTTCATGGAGGACACTGTATTCCAGATGGTCGATGGAGTTGCTGGGTCTCTCCATCACAATCAGGATCTCTAAGTCCGATTCAAACCAGTCAAATAAAGAGACTGCAGTGTTTTGTCTCAGGGGTCTCATCCTAAGCTGCTTTATACATGAAAAAAACCTCCTCTTTTGAACCTGTTTAATGGCCTGCAAGTCAGAGCGGAAATGTTATTTTTTGATGAAGCAGATTAAGCACCTGGGCTTCACCATTAACTTCTATTCAAGAAGTGTCTCTAAAGCCTGAACACCAATCAGACATCAGCCGCATGAAGCCAATGGAAGGTCCTTTAGATTTTTGCTGAGGTCCTGTAGGACACAGCCATGTCTGAAGAACGTAATTAGCAGCAGACAACTATAGACTGTTTTATCAAATTTTTAGGCGGAGTTTGATTGTGTAGTCAGAGGGAATGTAGACTGAGTCAGAGCTGTATCTCGAAAGATGTGGTTGGAAAAGTAGCCCAATCGGATCATTGTATTGATTAAATTTTCGCGAGCACAAACAGTGAAGGACTGGTACACATCTTGGCTGTGCTGTTATCACCCTCTGGTCGGTCATATTTCCAGCGACAGTAGAAGGGTGAAATGTTTGCCCTAACCCAATCACACTTTAAGTACAGTATAAATTACTGTAATTTCCACATCATTTTTTGTCTTCAGTTTGAATCTCAGACCTTGTGTAATGGGCCAATTGGTAGTGTGGAAGGAAGAGTCTTCAGATTGTTTAATAATTTGGGAGTACAGAACAGAACGGGATGAGTGGGAACCTCACATTTTATTACAACAAGCCAGATCAGGGGGTGTGGCCTTGCATACGTCATTTAGTTCCTTACAGTCTTCCCCCTTTCACTTGAAATGTCAACATTTTCATAAAAAAACCCCCATCAAAACACAATAACATGTAATGAACTGTACAGTCAAAAACCCACCACAGGATACTGAGGACATCACCAGATAGACATATGGTGCAGGAACACAGGTCCTCACATGGCAGCCAGACACCCCATCGGGCACAGTACGCTCTGACTCCCAAAGCCAGTTATGATCCAGGGAATATTACACCAAGGTGCTGGAATATCCTCTTTCCCCTCAGCACATGTTCACCTCCAGCAGCTCACACCACTGCCTGTAGCATGTCCAAGGTCTGGTCCGGTGGCACAGTCACCACTAGTCACATGTCCATCACTTTAGTCCATCGAGGTAAAGAAGGGGGGAAAATACTAGAGGGGGATACCGCACCCCCACCACAGACACACTACTACACAAGGTTAGCTAGCTTCAGAATCGGACCAGGCTAGAAACTCACGAATCCCAGGCGGGCTCCAAGTTCGCCTTGTGCCAGGTGGCAACGGCAGCGTCGCTGCCACCAGTGTAACGAGCCAAGTGGTAGTGTGGAAGGAAGAGAGGAGAAAGTGTCTTCAGGTTGTTTAATAATTCAGGAGTACAGAACAAAATCCCGTAATGAGCGGGAACCTCACATTTAGAAAGGGTCAAGGGGTGTGCCCTTGCACAGGTCATTAAGTCCCTTACACTTGTTCTCACCAGACCACCACTGTACGGCTGTTCAAGATTGTGCTTGGGCATCTGGAATAAATCAATCTTGGTACTTTTGACCTCTGGCATATCTTTAAACTAGATTTTTAGGACAGACAGGCAAAAAAAGAGAGGACCACCCTCCCTCAGCCAATCAGATCTCAGCCCCAAAGCGTCAAAGAGTGATTCACTGCAAGTATGCAAGACATTACATGCTATCTTCTGCAGGATGTTGCAATCTGACGTTCTGATTTTACGAGACTATCTCTGGTGGGACAATCAATGTATTATGTATGGGTGGAAATGTAAGTACCTCAGTTCTCATTTAGTATAGTAATGATAGTAATCTAAGTAATAAGGAATTACAACCAGAATTGGAGAAATTTTGAGCCAAAATCTGTTTGTTAGGACCGAGTTGTTGATCAAACAATGTGTGTGAATTCAAGTTTTTTCAAAAATATGGATATAGCGTGGCCATTCTACAAAAATATGTGCAAGTATTGTAGCTCTAGGACAAACTAAATGTAAAAATAGCTAAATGTAAAAATGGCTAAATGTATTAGGCGGCTCTATTATTTTTTTAATCTCAGGAAAAAAACCTCCAAAAACCGGGTTTTGCCGGAACTGATCTTTGGGCAAATTTTGGCAACGATTCATGCATATTCAGGGGGTCAAAATAAGGTTCAAAGCACAGAAGGAAAAAGAAATCAAAAGGACAGGAATTTTTCTAAATTCCTTGAGTACAAACAGTATAGGTTTCCACGGCACATGATATATCTTTTTTAAGCGTTTGAGGAAACGCTCGCAAACCTTTTGTTTTGATGAGGCGCCCATCACTCACTGCAATTTCTTGCATTTACCATTGTGAATGCCAGTTTAGCTTTTGTGTCTAATGGTGCAATTCATAATAAAATGCAACTTTCATCATGTTCTTTTTCAACCGATTTCATTTTTGAAATCTTCAGTCTTCCTTACTATTTGTTTCTTCCATTGTTGCTCATTGATATGTTTATGTCTGCATTTGTATGTATGTACACACTGCTATTTTTTTGCATCTTTTCTTAGAGGTGTTGTCTAATTCAAACAATATCTCTTCCTGCTTTGGAAATTGAAACCCATTCTCTGAAAATGAATAAAGCCGTATAAAATGAAATGGTTCTTTGTGATTGTGCCGCGAGTGTAAGGGCATGTCCGGGTGGGGCGACTTGACCTCCCCATGATTGGAGCTCGTCCTGTCTTTCGCTTTCACACAAGTAGAAAAGACTTAATTTGATTCCTGATTATCATCACTGGGCCTGTCCCCCTCCCCCACTTTGCTGTCTCATGTTTATGATTCAAATATGATTTAAATGAAAAGGTCACTCACCGGTGACATACAAGGCTCCAATGGGATTGCCTTTAACAGACAGTGTCTCACAGACGTATGTGATCAAATACATTACATCTGTATCCATATTTTGGTTTTGAATTTATTTTACTTCTTTTGATGATAGTTGATGCAGACATATGTCTATGTATTTGAACAAAAGAATTGTATTGTCTGGTCCGACATGAAACTTCTTATCTGTTGATAACATTATTATTGCTAATGACCACTGCAGGCTTTGTGAAAATCAACCACAAAGCCATGTACAGACTCATAAAAGCATTTGTCCTCCTGAACTTTCACCAACATTAGCCACGTTTGTCGGAGGAGCACAATGACTTCAAACACACTTGTCCGCTGCTACAAAGACCCGCTTTATCAAACGTCTGTAAAACTGACAGCCAAGAGCAGTTTGCAGGTACATTAAAAAACTTATCAGCGATTACAGGCATATTTTTCAATCATTACCACAGCGCTGAGACAACGGACTGGTCATAAAACTGGCTCAGATATGTGCATATTCAGCATAACTGGGTCACTTATCCTAGCTGTTTGTTTAAACGGATGATAAAACACTTTGAACTGTTCATAATTGACTGATAGTAGTTTAAATCCTTTTCTGGAGTATTGTAATGCCATCCAAATCAATGTGTAGAGTCTAGCATCCGACACTAGAACATAATAAAATTATTTATTTTAAAAGAAAATTCAAATCCTTGCCACTTATTGACAAATACACTCAAAAGAAGGCTTTTCTTCTCACCTGGCTGTCATTTGGATCGGGAAAGCTTTGTTGCAATCACTGATATTCTTTGGCATCAGCCTCTAACAGTCTTTCTGGATATGTTTAAGATCGAACTCGACCTAGACCAGAATGTAGAGTACTACTATACTCTATAAAGATGGACAAGTAGTAATCCTTATTTACCCACCTTTTCACTGCAAATCTGAGTCTCAAAGCGGTTTACAATTGTTAATTTTGAGCATTTGTCTCTCACTCCACACAGAGATATGAGCAGGGACGCCAGTACAGGAGGCGCATGCCAGACCTATTGTACATATTTTTAGTGGTAGGGGAAACCGGAGTACCTGGAGGAAACCTACGCAGACACGGGGAGAACATGCAAACTCCACTCAGAAAGACCCTGGTCCGACGAACCCAGGACCTTCTTGCTGAGAGGCGAGAGTGCTATCCACTCAGCCACCGTGCCGCCCAAGGATAACCCATAGCCTAATGAAACCCAATGGGGAAGTTCCCATGGATTAAGTTTTGCTCCAACTTGCTTTGGCTCCTATTGACTTCCACTCCTCTTGCTCATTGACCGTTTGTGTCACTTTGATTTTTACAAAGTCAAATTATGAGCCCCAACAAAAGCCTCAACTCAAGAACAGATTCCCTGAGCTCACCTGTAGAAGTTTATAGCGCCTCCATAGTAACTCTGGAGCAAATAGCTGCCACTCTGATCAGTGTTGTCCCTGCTTGTGCTGTGAGACAGACAGCCATGTTTTGTTAGGTTTGCATTGTGCCATACTCTTTCCATTCTCAGATGTCCAAAGTATGGGAAATGTATATAACCTTACCATGCTTAAACATCTCCCCAACTTTATCCCTCACCTCTCTTGAGGGTTCTTGGGACTTTGTTTAGTGACCAATGCACTCTAAACATAGCTCTGAGGCCATCACAGAACATCTATAATTGTCCTGGATGCAGATGTCATGGCTTTTGTGGATGGCTTTTGAGTCATAAGCAAGATATAAGCCATCATTTGTTGATGTATATTGCACTCAGGCAATGAAAAACACTAGAAAAATGCAATTCATCATTTTTTCTTTCACTTCACAGTTGTCTCTTTGTCTCTTTCATCAAAAAAGTCCCAAATAATCTTTATGTTTGTGGCTGTGAACATTACAACATTGCAAAAGTTCAAGTTGTATAAGACTGGGTTCTGTTCGATGAGTAAACGTGTTTAAGCTATCACTAATTCCATCGAGTCGCTCTCATTAGGTCGTCAGACGGATTTTTATTTCTATTTATTTGAGCTGATCGCGCAACCTTCTGATAAAATCATTAAAAATGCATCTTCATCGCTCCCAAATTCCATCCTACGAACAGGTGGATGGAATTCTACATGGCCTCCAGCAGGTGGCCATGTAGAAGGCTACCTGCTGGACTTTTCCCACTGCATCCCATTATCC